AGTGAGATTTCTCTGCAGCCATAAGAAAGAATATCGTAAATAGTTGACTGTTTGCTATAACCAAATGTTTCGGTGCCATAAGAAATGCTTGATGTTTCTTACCCAAACAGACAGAGAGCATCAAAGATGAATTACTCTGCCCAGCATTAATACTAAATTGCTCCAGCTTTTTCCTGAGGTGCCTTGGCCTTTCCCAGTTGACATGCTTTCCTCTTGTTGATTTCAGAAGATCATTCAGAAGATCATCCTGAAGTAATGGAACCAAGAGGGCTGAAAGCAGAAACGTGAGTATTGGGTGTAAGAACAGGGAGATAGGAAGAGAAGTTCAGAATGAGGGGAAAATGTCTTGCAGAAGGAAGAAAGTGACAGGAAGGGTTAAAGCAACCTTACATATTTCAGAGTAAATAGTTGCTGGATAGGCAAGAAGAAATCACTCATAATTGAATGTTCTTGAGTTTTTTGGACATGTTAGTATTTATTTCATGCCAAAGTTTTCCTGCTGAAACTGATGGAGCTTCTTGAATGAGAAGCAAAATGTTTTCTTCTTCCTCAAGGAAAAAACTGTCCAGTTGCCTTTGGGGGGGGGGGGGACCCACCTTTGAGACAACTATGACCTGCATGACTGAGAATCTCCACAGTCATTTACCAAAGCTTCCCCCCCCATATTTCTAGGGCAGTGATGGCGAACCTTTTAGAGACCGAGTGCCAAAAAACTGGCTCCACTCCCTGCCGTGCCCCCGCTCCGTCCCCACACCATCCCCCACCCCGCCTGCCCGCAGGGCCACTCACCACCTCCAGGGCCCACCACAGATCGCCCAGGCAACCCAGCAGCGCCATGGTGGCCATGCCCACAGCATCAACTGTGTGTGATGGGGCATGAGGGCAGAGTCTTGTCTACACTGCCTGGCTGCCATGTCCTTGGCTGCGCTGCTCCGCATGGGCCACGCTCAGGGACGACTCCTCCAAGGGGGCTGCTGGTGAGGAGGGGGTCGTGGGGGGAGGTGAGGCTGGGGCAATGGCACATGTGCCCACAGAGAGGGCTCCGAGTGCTGCCTCTGGCACCCGTGCCATAGATTCGCCACCACTGTTCTAGGGGATCTTGGAACTGGGCAGGGCTCAGTTTTACTCAGAATTACATATCCACTTTGTAGAGACAGGATCCTCAGCCCATTCCACAAGTCTAACCATCAGCTGGAAAGTGACTACATCCTGAGCAGTTACAGGAAAGGGATTCCTCTTTGGCTGTGAGATCTTGAGCTGTTGCCCAATACGGGCACTCCTCAATTTACAACAGTTCATTTAGTGACCATTCAAAGTTACGTCACTGGAAAAAGTGACCTATGACTGTTTTTCACACTGATGACTGTTGTAACATCCCGATGGTCATGTGATCAAAATTTAGATGCTTGGCAACTGGTTCATACGTACGACAAATGTCTCACTTAATAACACAAATGGGCTCAATTGTGGTCGTAAGTCGAGAACTACTGAACTGAGCATATAACTCAGCTATATATAACTGTGCCATATAATGATCAGCCAGTGGCCTTGAAAACCTACAGATGTGCTACACTAGATTTTTAATTTTTCACTATATTTAGTTTTATCATAAAAGATAAAATATAAAACAAAAACAAACAAAACAAAAACAAAATTAAAAAGACATACATCCAACACTAACAACAACAAAAAAGAAAAAAAATTGGTGTGCACAAAAGGAAAAAAGCTGTGCCAAATACCAGGTAAATTTAGCATTAAATATAGAATCCACCCCGGCTGGACGCTGGAAAAAAAAATTCTCCCCTTTTACCTACATACATACATACAGTCAACATGTTGAACTAAATATTACACTAATCTTCAAATCTCTGTTAACCATCTGTTCTTGTATTTAACACGTAGAAAATCCACAAACAGCTTCCAGTCTCTTTTAAAACTGTCTAGTCCATTATCTCTAATCAAAGCTGTTAATTTTGTCATCTCTGCTAATTTAGTTAATTTTTAAATCCATTCTTCAATAGTCGGCATCTCTTTTTTTCTTTCCAGTGCTTGGTAAGTATGATTTTCACAGCAGTCACCATGTGAAGGAATAGAACCCCAAATTGTTTTTCAATTGGTTTGTCCATAATACCTAAAAGAAAAGCTTCAGGTTTCATTAATATTTGTATCTTAAATATTTTCTTTATTATAATAATTATGTTTATCCAGTATGTTTTCACATATTTACAAGACCACCACATACGATAAAATGAACCTGGATTTTAATTACATTTCCAGCACTTACTAGAAGTCCATTTATATATTTTCACTGGTCTGTCAGATGTCAAATACCAACAATACATCATTATATAGAAACTTTCTTTCAGGCTAATAATTTAATGTAAAGTTTAGTCCATTAGTACTTTCTCCCATTTATCTAGCGTTATGTTATATCCAAAATATTTTGCCCATTTTATCATACAATCTTTTACATATTTGTCTTCCAGATTCATTTTGAGTAACATTTTATATTCTTTAGCAACCAAGTGGTCACCTCTAGAACATAAATTAACATCCAGTTCAAAAATTCTATAATAATTAAACCAATCACAAACAAATCCTTCACTTACTAATTGTTCTCTTGTCTTTATCTTGAATCCCTCTTTTTCAAATATCAATAAGTCCCGATATATCATACATTTACATTCTGATACCATCTCTGTTCTATGTAGTGCTTCGTGAGGTGATAGCCAAAGTAGTATATTATCAGCTAATCTTCTTTTGTAGTTCCACCATACATGCCCAATCGATTGCCTAACAGCATGAATCTTAAAAACCAGGGTTAACTTTTACTTTGTCATACCACAGATAAGCATGCCACCCAAATCTCAAATCAGAACCTTCAAGGTCTAACAGCTTTGATTTTTTTTAAAGTTATCCAATCTTTTAACCATACTAGACAACAAGCATTGTAATATAATTTAAGATCCAGCAAACCCAAACCTCCTCTGTCTTTAGAATCCTGTACCAGCTTCTATTTAATCCTTGGTTTTTTATTTTGCCAAATAAATTTAGATATATCTTTCTGCCACTGTTTAAAAGAAGAATCTCTCATCAATATTGATATAGTCTGTAATAGAAATAACATTCTATGTAGTTCATTCATTTTAATTACTGAAATTCTTCCCATTAACGACAAATGACAAATCTAATTTTTGCCATCTATTTAAATCCAATTTTATCTCCTTCCATATTTTAACGTAATTATTTTGTAAAGCTTAGAATTTTCCTCAGTAAGAGTCACCCCCAAATACTATACCTTTTTCACAACTTTAAAACCAGTTTTAAATTCCAATTTCTTCTGATTTTTCCACATTTATATTCTTAGGCAATATTGTCATTTTTAATCAATTTATTTTTAAACCCGCCATTTCTCCAAACATTTTGATCTTCCTCATAACATAGTCAATGTTCTTTAGCGGGTCAATACCATGTCATCAGCAAATGTGCTAAGTTTGTAATTGTGCATTTTAACTTGTAGTCCAGGGGTATCAAACTGCCGGCCCGCGGGCCGGACACATCACAAGGAAACCGTGGCCACCCCATTGCCTGCAATGGGGAAAAAGTTCCGATACGTCATGCGACGTCACGTGACATCACGAGTTTGACATGTCTGTTGTAGTCCTTTTGCTCTGTTGTCTAATATCTCTATTTAACAGTTCCAACACCAGAATAAATAATAAAAGGATACCCCTGCCTTGTTCCTTTCTAAATTTCACATGGTTTTTGTCAAATCTCCATTCACCATAAACTGAGCTTTTTGGAGTGTATAGATGGACTCCAGACCTTGTATAAAGCCCGATCCAAAGTCCATATTTTCCACTGCTTTAATCATAAAGGCCCAGTTCAAGTTGTCAAACATTTTTTCTGCATCCAGAAAAATTAATGCAACCTCTTTGTCACTACGTTGTTGTAAACGTTCAATTTTTATTCAAAATTACCCTTATGTTACCTTTTAGTTGTCTTTTTAGGTGAGAAGCCACACGGGTCTTCGTGTATATAATCCTGTAAAACTTTTTTAGGTCTTTCAGCTAGAATAGATGTGAAAGTTTGTAGTCATTATTAAGGAGTGAAATTGGCCTGATAGTTTACATTTATGCGTTACAGTAGACATGAATGCACCATTTGGGAGACTTGAAAGAAGCGGTTAGGAATCGATCATCATAGAGAAAAAAATCTATCTAGGTCAGGGGTCCTCAACCTTGGCAACTTTAAGATTTGTGGACTTCA